TCCACACAAGCCCTCCACACTTTCAGATACTTCTTGGCGTCGAAATCCCACATCGAAGCCTCGCATGAAAACTTCTTTTCTCTTTTCTTGGACTCCTCCACCATCAGCCGGCCCAACTGCGGCATCCGGACATCTTCTAAAAGAAGGACCTCGTCGAAGATGCCTGTCTTGCTCGCCTCGCCCCGCTCGAACGGAGAGAGGATGATGATGTCCTGGTCTCCTTTTCTCACGCCGGGCACCACATCGCACACCCGGATTTTCAAGAGCTCTCCTGGTCTGGCATAGGTGCTGAAGCTGACCTCGTTGAACAACGCCATCAGCGGCCAGCCTTGGTCGAGCATGACTCCGGAGATGGCACTCTTTACATACTCCACCATGGGCAGCCTCGTTTGGTTCGGTGCCATCTTGCGCCAGCCTTTCAAAGCTCTTCGGAACCGGGGCAGATGAAGTGCTCCTTTTCTTACGGCCTCCGGCCTCTCGTACTCTAAAGCTGCTCGAAGACGATTTCCTGCATCCTGAGAGCAACCGTTCAAATACAGGTAGTCGGCATAGTCCACCAAAGCCTCGTCTAGGTCTGACTCTGTGCTGATCCTCAGATCGAAGCGGGCGACGAAACTGTAGAACTCGCTCAGCCTCTTCGCATAGTCCTTGCGCTGTGCATCCTTGACTGAGCTGTCCTCCAGTATCCCCCGACCACCCTGAGTTGCTCGCAGCTTCTGCTCGTACTTCATCCGTCTCTGCATGGCCTTTTCTCTCTTCTTCTTGACTGAGTTGATCAGGTGCATCAAGGTCTTGCTCCTGGGTTCCCGACCCACCCTCTCGCGGCTGCGAGATGGAGTCTTTCTCTTTCTGGGAGGGGGAGAAGTCTTCACTGGGTCTTTCATCAGGGCATTGCTTTTGCGCACTTCCGATTTCGTGAACTTCTGTACCACTCTCTTCTTCTCGACCTTGGTGTTTGGCTGCGTGCCACATTTTGCTCTGGCGGCCCTCCCAGCGACGGCTGTCGGCGTCAGCAACATTCCATTCACTGGGCACCCATCTAGCAAAAAGACGAATCTGACTTGCGAGACTGTGAGCTGCAATGCGTCTGAGAATTCTAAGCAAACCATAATTACTGCATCTGCCTTTCTGCACACTCAGGACTACACTCATGTTGTCATTCAAAACGACCAAACGGCTTCTGTGTCTTCCTGTGTCACGCGACCTATGCTTCATTGCACCAAGGATGCTGCGGGCTTCAATCAGGTGCACAGGCTCCCGGATGTGAATCTTGCTGCACCACAACAGATGCCAGTGCTCCCGATCCATCAAAGATTGGGGAACATCAGGGAACAGGGGGTCAATCTCAACATCACCAAATACCTCACCCTCTACCAAAGGTTTCACAGTTAAAGGATCTTCAAACACACCGGATGTGTCGTGAAGAACTTCCCGGGGCGCCACCCGCGCTCCATCTGTCCTTCTGAACCTCCAGCGCTCGTCCCATCTGCCCACACGGCGTGTCACCTCCGCATCATGCGAACTGCTCATCACCGCATATCCAGATAGGCAGGCATCGGTGCACAACATCTCGGAATCCCACCTACTCCTGAAATCCCCTAGGGCCACAGGCATCAAAACCCTAAAAAGCTCCAACTCGTATGCGACGCTCTTCCACAAACGTTGCCGGGATTTATAGCACTTCTCAATAAAGATATAGCTGTGGCGAAGTATACACATCAACGATCTGTTGAGAAGAGCACGGCAAGTCATATGACCAACTACTACTTGCAACTCCTCCCCGCTGACGAACAGTCGCTCGGCCAGCCTAGTGAGGGCCCGGTCGAGCCTCCAGTCGCGGTGAGGTGTCGGCTGAACCTGTCCAGACATGCCATTGATTCGAACCCCAAGGCTTTCCGCCAAAGTCGAGCTGGAAGCAACGTCGTGAGTCGCAAGCCCTTTCTCATGTAATGCCTCCATCAGTGCCTTCTGATTAGCGTCCACCGTTGGATGTGATATACCCAGGTGGTTGGCATTATCAGCGTAGATTAACAGAGCTCTGTCAACACCGTCTTTCCCCCTCCCCAGCCTCGGCGCGGCAGTTTGGTCGCGCACCAAAGGTACTCCTGGTAGAGAGCGACGAGCGAGGTCTACGTGGCATTGGTGAGCCAGGTGGAAGGCCCACGAAAAACCCATGGGCAGCACTCGCATGCATGGATAAATAGGGTCTCCATGAGAATCCAAAAGATCTTGAACTTCTGGGGGAGTGTGGCCAAGCACGTCATGAAATAAACCAACATCTACAGCAGGCAAGGCAAAATATCTACTCAACTCTTCCCCAATACCCAGTCTATAGAAAAATCTCTGACATCTTCTTGCGCCACAAACAAAGTCTCGTCCTCGTCCATCTCCAGGCGTCCCCAGGCCTCCGTCGACCCCAAAATGGTCGAAGGTGGAGTCCTGAAGAGCCGGTTGCTGGGACGACAGTCAAGGATAAGTCGCTGACGGTCACCCTTCTTCGTCACGGTGAAAATGCCAACCTGAACCCGAGGTTTGGTGGTGTACCGGACCAGTCGACAACGATGAAGGTCACGTGGCAACTGTGGGGGTCATGCTCCAAAACCGGGTCAATGTACTTCAAATGGTCAAAGCCCTTCTCTTGAACAGCCGCCATTTCTTCGGCGCTCAAAAGCATTTCGGTCTCAAAGTCTGACAACTGCCTCCTCTCTTTCTCAGGCAAAATGCCTAACAAGTCAATCGGCTCTCGCTGATCCCGTGGCAAAGAAAGCTTCTCTCTTGAGTAGCTGGCCAGCTGTCCAGGCAAGTCGGATGCCATGTTGTACCCGCTTGCCTTCTTCCTCAGCAGCTGCCTAAGCGCGGCCTGAGGTGTCTCATGCATGGTGGGGGCTGGTCTTTCTTTGTGGGCCCGTTCCACCAATCTCAACGAATTCTTCTGAGCTTGGTTGAGCGCCATCCTAGGCCAAGAGTCCGGCTTCGTGAAGCCACCCAAAGTGTTCAGACCAGCAATCGTGTCATTGATACGGCCAGTCAGGAGTCTCCTCCTGTGAACTCTCTGTCTCGACCTACGGCCTCGAATAGCACCCAAATCTCCGGAGAAAAAAGCATCATCTGACAGAAGCGGCAAAGGCAAAAGATCCCCATGTCTCGGGGCAAATTTGGAAAACGTTTTGGTGTCCAAAATGATCTCAGGCTGCTTAGCGGCACCATGCCAAACAGCCCGATCTTTCTCCTCAGGGTTGTCCCTGGGGCTTCTCCTTAGCCCCCTTGCCATCTCCTTTTCTAGTAGGCTTGTCTTCTCGGGCATGCCGCCTTTCCTCGGCGGCTAAACGAGTCTGCTTCAACACCTCTGCTTTTGCTGCCTGTCGACGGGCGGCATGCTGCAGAAGCGAAGGGTCTACCAAGCTGCCATCGGTTGAATCCTTGATGCCCAAGATCTCTTCCGCGGCTTCATAGCTAGGAGCGTCTGGGCGCCCTTGGTGGGCGTGTTGAGCGCCTCTGCACTTGCCAGAGCAGGCAAGTTGAGCTGGTCATAGACCATCATGAAATGAAGTGCTCTGCATACGCTGCTATGCTCATGAACCGATCGGTCGGAAGCTCGAACCCCAGACTTTTTTAGCCAAGCGTCATGATGCAAGAGAAAGTCCAATCCCATGCGCCGAAGCTGCCGGCAGTCATGTAGAATCGTCCGTGGCCCCTGCAGGGGGAAATCATCGAACTCCACCTCATCGAACTCCGCCACTGCTTCGCTCACAGTACGAAATCGCTCATCGCCACTGTCAAACACCACCGGCAAAATCCGAACATCTCGCTCTTCTTTGTCAACCCCCACGGACTGCCCAACTCGCACGGCAGCCTTGAAGCTGTCTAGCTCCTTCAAAGCCAAGCCACGGACTAAAAACTCTTCTCCTGCCAGACTGAAAAGCTTGAAGCTCTTACCACCGACCTCAATCACGGGACTATCTGCTGGGGGGGTGATCTCTTCACCCAAGTCGCCACCCGAAGTTCTATAAACCACTACCCAGACTCGTGTGTCCACCGAAGCAGTGACCTCGGGCTGTGAGGGCTCCCCCAAGCCTTGGCCAGCCACTTGCCCATCAGCATCCAGCTTACCGCGAATTCGAACTCGCCCAACCTCAGCGGCATAAAGACGGTCAGCCTTGGCCACAAGTCCTCGCATCTCAGCACTGCCGATGGCCCCCTTCTCACTATGACGGGGGAGATAGGTGTCATCATCCCGCACACCAACAGGCAAGCGATTGGCTTCGATTCGCTTCACTTCAGTGTACTTGTCCCAAACCTCCAGCGTGGTCCGCTCAACATCTCGGTCAGGTGTCACAACAAAGCAGTCATCTCCCCTCACCGGCCTAAGCACTCCACGGCAGTGTAGAAGAGCGGGGTCATCCCCGAAGCGCACGAGCACGGCGTCTTGCGGCAGCCACCGAATCTCGCTGGCCATCTTCTTTTGGGGGCTTTTCTTCACCAAAGCTCAAAATTGGGGCAACAGTCAAGTCAACCGGCTCACCTTTTCCAACAGTCTCACCCCTCCTCCCTAGAAAGAAAAGGCAAATGCTCAAAGTGAACAGGGATCCAAATGCGGCTCCAACAAAGAAGAAAAGAATCGAATGCTGAGATCGAAGTGCGTCCAAAGACCTGATCAAGGTGATGCGATGCTCCTCGCAACTTTCCAACAGCTCTCGGGTGCGACCACACAGACCTAGCTCCTGCTCCAAGAGGCCCACCTTAGAACCACACGGGTCACCTCGAACAAGCTTATTCGAATCCGCCAGCAATCCCAAACCAAGGCGTACGACTTCGGCCCCCACAACTCGCGCCACTTCGCGCCAAGCGACCATGAAAGGAACTACCCGCACTTGATACTTAAGAAGTGGCCACAGAAATTCATGAGCTTCCGTCAAAAAAATATAAAGAAATATAGCATGATATACCTATGTGTGCTGCACTCTATTTCCTCAAAGAAATCCAGTGACCCGTGACATTGCCTGCGGGCTAGCTTTGCACTTAGACTCTGTCAGCGCAGGCGCTGTCCTTGGCCCATAGTTGAAGGTTCAACTCTGTTGCAGAAAGCTTCAAGTGATTCATCGTGGCTTTGCTGTTTTTGGTCACGCGCAAGCATGAGTTCAAAATTGATTGAACCCCCACAGTGTTGCAAGGCCGTCTTGCCGACAACGTCTCCCACATACAAGTCTTCAAGGCAAACGATAAACGCCCTACCACAAGATGCAGCACCGGTTCCTACCGCTAAGTTCAACAGGCAATTGAAAGAATAGAGAGATTGAGATTGGCAGTTCTTGTCTTTCGCTTCGGAACTTGGCCAAGAGGCAAGCGTTGAAGTGCAAAGTTACAGCGCTCCCCTTGCGGATGTGCGGCGCACATCAAATTCTCCTTGCAGACCAAGAGAGGTTGAGAGAGCATATAGGACCCTTGTAGTGGTACATATGGGATGGGCTATAGGGCTGTTCAACCTGTCTTGGGATATGAGCACACAGAGTTTCTGCTCTTTAATGCTTTCTCGGCTCGGTGCCAAGACCCTAGTGCGCGCAGATCTTGTGCACAAGAACGACCAAAATGGAATGCAATTCCCGGTGTCTGCAACACCCAGATGCGCTGACAAAATTACTAGCAATGGCCTCCAACCTAAAAAGCAATGGCCTCCAACCTACTAGCGATGGCCTCCAACCTAGCCTTGGGGCGAAAACAAAATTCGGGAATTCCCTGGCGAAGGAGAAATGGGCCATTCTCTGCCTTCTCTGCCATTCTAGACGTTCAACGATTATCCGACATGATGTTGCAACTTGTCTTCCTGAGTTGTGAAGTGCGTTTCTTGGTCGAGAAATTGTTGCTTCCAACTAGGAGAAACCAATCATCGACACAAGCAACCACAAAAACATGAACACCCAACCCACAACACTCACCTGAACAATAGCAATCACAATCACTCCTTGAAAGAGGGTCTGAAACCCATTCCGTAGAGATGAAGTGACTCCCGTTCTACAGGGTCCGTTGGGGCCGTCGTGCTCTCTCTTCCCCACTCCGGCGGTCCTTGGGCCACTGCCGTAGGATCGGCGGCCAGAACTCGCTCTGAAAGGTGGAGCAACCCAGCACGTAGCTGCGCAGCGCGTTCCAACGGCCGCGGCGTCGACCCCGGTCGGAGACCGGGTTGGCCCCGGTGGGTGTCAATTTGGACGAGGGGTCCAAATAAAAGAAACATGGGAGGTGCAGCACAGGCACAAATCAACATGGCCATGGAAAAAAAGAGAACGAGACTCTTACCTACGGGTCAAGAACCTCATTTACTGGATTTTGATCATACAAAAAAAGAAACACTACGTATTTCCATCGTCATAAGGTCAAGGGCCACCCGTGCTCCTCGGTCAGACTGAACCTGGAGTTGAAGCCTCGGTCAGCCCGTCCAGCTTGAGACACCACCTGTGCTGGCCTCCGTCGTGGAGGAGACTCCGTGCTGGGAGGCACAAGCGTGTTCACGTCCAGTAGCCAGGCCCAATCGGCACCTCGCCGTGAAGCAGCGTGAAGATCGAGCAGGAGCGTAGCCAGCTCAGGTCTAGTCTAGAGCATCCGCATTTCTTGAAAAAAGAAACATCTGTGATATGTCAAGCTTCAAGAGGGTGTCATCTCAACTCAAAAGGAATGATGTCGCCCACCGTCTTCACATGTTCAGTGGCTGGCATCCTCCCTGTGCAAGCCAGTCCTGGTGCCATTTCGGACAGTGGACTTCCAATCTGGTTGAGCCATTTCGCCGGTCAACAAACATGTGAATCGAGAGAGCAGATCTAGAAGGGAAGACTGGCAAAAAGTCTTGCTTCACCACTTCATGGACCCAGAGAATCTAAGGATGGATCCAGAGAATTCACCCAGACTGCAAGACCGCTTCATTTTCCTCCTCTAGACCCGTGGCTTGCCTCTGCCAGTGCCGTTCTGGGTGCCCGGGCCGTTCCAGTTCTCCCAGTTTTGGATCGCCTCTGCCGGGCGCCGGATCGGTGAACGTCCACGTCTTCGTCTCGCGACCGGAGCACCGTCCCCGGTGACCGTTGAGCTCGATGTCAGGAGGGACGGGACGAGCTCCTAACTTCGATGTCAGGAGTGGTTGATCATAGAGTGCTGCCAAAAGAGGGTGAAGGCTGCAGTGAAGCCGCGGGAAGGCCTCTCTTGGCCAATCGAAATTGCCCGGCCCGGGCCGAATGGGCCCGAGAGATCAACATGATCAACTCCCTTCGAAGCCGAAGGTGACGTGACGTGCAAACAGAACTCGCCCGTTCCCTTTCTACGACGAATGATGATACCCACGAGTTACCTCAGAAAAGCTGTGTTTTCCGAGAAAAGCTGCAGGTCAGTCTGGTTCAAAAAACATCATTTCGTTCATTTCCAACAGAGGTTGAAGAACCCTATAGACTATCCCATAGTTAGCCCAGGTGACGGGCCCCTATAAGGTCACTTAACCTCTGTTGGTACCCACGAGTTACCTCAGTGTGATGAGATGAGAAACTTCACAAAAGGAACCTCGCATGGGCTGCCATGAAACCTCTCGACACCTGCCATGTCTGAAACCGTGTTCTCTCAACCTATCGACACCTGCTCCTTCTTTGACAACTAAGTTGCCAATAGGTGATGTTTCAAGATGTCAACCACCAAGAAAAGAAAGGAAACCCAAGCACCAAGTTTCTCTACAAGGCAGGAACATAACAAAATTGGGTGGTCTAAGGGTCTGCAGTGAATGAGAGGTCCAAAAACACAAGGGGTCAAACACAATGGGTCGAACTCTCAAAAACCCTTTGTCAGTCTGAGAAAGATTTGTGGGTTCATGGACCACGGGACATGTGGACACCAGCTTGCTTCCAATGGAGAAAGGAATTAACAAAACAGCATGACTGGAAGAGAATTCAAGGATCTTTCACTAAATGTCATGTGTCTTCACCTACTTTCCCTAAAATCCTCAGGACATATGGGACTTCTTTTGGTCTCTCTGGCTCGAAGGACGAGACCGTCCCATTCCGCGGGATCGTCTTCCCAACCTGCATGGCCCATTGCTGCTCGAACGACTGCTTCTGCGCCCAGGAGGGCCACCTCTTCACCCGGCGTTTGGCTCCCGTCTGCTGGTTCACCTGCTGCGCAACCCGCGCGGCAGAACCGTTCCAACCGCACAGTCCGGCCATGAGCGTTGGAGGCGGTGGCCAGCACACAGACCAGGTTGAAAAGGATAGAAACCTGTTGAGACTGCAGGAGATTCTGGTGAGCACCTAAGTGGAGTGTAGTACTGGTATGCCAGGGTATGCCAGGTTAGGAAGGTATTGTGGGTTCCGTGCAAAGCTGCAGTCTTGGAGCTTGAAACTTGTCAGAGTACTGCTGCTGGGGTACCAGCGCGAGCCACTCTCGTATGGCTGTGTGGTTGTGATTTGTTCTTGTGGGATTTGCGTTCATCAGCTCACTATAGACATACATCTACAGAATCATCTAGAGAATCTACTGCAGAACTCGTGGCACCACCTCCACACTCTTCTGCAGAACAAAGCTATCTCAGCTGGGGTCGCCAAGTGCTGCAGACCAGCCACCCAAGCCAGCCCGTTCAGCCCACGCCACCAGGTCCGGCAAGCTCCGCACCCCACGCCTGCTCTGCGTCGCAGGGCTTTCCGGCACAAGCCTCCTGTCTGGGAACCGAAGTTCGCGGGCAAAGCGACGAATCGACCGAACTGAGAGTTCACGGGGGGGAGCTTCCCCGGGCTACCTGGTAGGCTACCTGGTAGGCATCAAAAGAAGTCGATGGAGTGTCAGCGATACCAGCTGGATTCCTGTCGAATTGTCATAACATTGTCCAATCAACTACCCGAAGTGCGCTATACTTGTTGTTCCCCAAACAGGTTTACCTGTGAGGGGTGTTACTCCTTTTCAAGGGGTGCATGCTCGGGCCGGATGATTTTGAGTTTGTCTCCGGGCTTGTGTTCCTGGCCGCATGATTTCACCCTTGTCTCCCACTTGTCTCCCAGTAAGCTCTGGATGCTCTGAGTGCT